CTTACCCGAGAAAAATTTTGGCAGGCCCGTACGCGGGTACCACACTTACCCGGGGCTGGATTTGAGCTCATTAACACCTACTTGGACGGGGAAAATCCCATTAAACTTTCAGCCTTTTAGCTTTTCTAGTTCGCGAGTTATCAATTTACTTGTGAAAAATTTTGGCGGGCGCGTACGCGGGTAAGACCGCCCATTTCGGGGACCGTACGTACATGTAGATTATGCCCCCAAAGTTTCAGCCCTCTAGTTTTTGCCGGTCTCGAGATGAAAAATCGGTACAGATGAACACACGGACACACGGACACACACACACACACACAGATACTCAGACACACACACAGACATCCTCTCGTCAATATGCGTTTTCTACATTGCATAGCTGCAAAAAACGCATAAAAAAGGATCTTTTACAGCTATTATTCTAGGTTTTTGAGTAGTCATGAGTACCAGAGCAATCATCATATTCCTATTTCAAAAAATAATCTCTAGAACACAGGCAGTTGAGCTGATCAGGCGAGTACCTTTTTTTTCAATGTGCGAATTATGAAAGAAATCGCGATTCCCTTGAAAAACCTTAATTTGTTTTTGGTATACTTTAATTTTAGTTTAAAAAAGGCGAAGTCAGTGGTATGCACTCATGGCTGCGATATTACTTGCTCGAACGGAATGCATCGCAACAGCTTCATTATCTTGGCTTCAGCGCTAGACGAGCTGTGAGCTATGAAATTTGTTTCGCTTCTTGTTGCAGCTAAGCTGCACAACCAGAACTCTCATGAGGTAGGAGAGGAGAACGGCCCATGTTGTCTGAAGTAGTATTTGGTCGGGTTAAAAGGAAAATCGTGAAAAGCTAGATTCAAATTTTCTAGATGAACAGCACTCAAAAAGGTGCTAAGTTCCAAGAATAGGCCTGAGATGAGAAAAAAAGGGAAGAGGAACACGCGAGAAGCAAAATCAACTGACTGAGCCACCAGTATTTCCTCGAAATAAAATGAATATACATCCCATATGAATATCAAGATCGCTTGGAACATTGGTGGCATGATCCAAAATACATAACATATCATTCACAAGAGACCTCCCCATAGATACACTTTCAACTTCGAGCTTCATGCCTCCAGTACTTTCTGTTTGATTCATAATAATAAAATTTAGAGTTAAAATGATAAGATAGATGAAAAGTTTTGGGGGAAAAAAGTCTAACACTATTGGGAAAACTGCTTTAATATGGCAGTTTGTTAGAAGATGAAAGTAGTATAACAAGTATGAAAACCAACTCTTATTGTGAAGACATGAAAAAATAAAAAAGTAAACTCAAAAAAAGTGTCCTGGCCCACAAAATTGTATACATTTCTTTCCAGTACCACAACTAGTCAGTAACGCGTTGTAGCGGAATATAATTAAATCTGAGGAGAATTATTAAAATTAGTTCAAAATTAAATATGTGAGTAGGAAGCAGAAGTTGTGTTGAAGAAGGTAAGTAATGTTAATGAAACATGCAAGTGAAAATCATACCTCTGTCATTTCCTTGCGAAAACTCGGTATTATATTCTCAATATTCGTCGTACTATCCAACCTAGTAATGTTGATATTAGATCAATATCTTACAAATGAAACAAAAATTTTAATCCGAGATGGTTAACAGTGAAAGCGACAAGTAAAATCCATTGTTATTATTTTTATGATACTATTATGGTAAAACGAAAAGATGTGGTGTAAATTAATATTAGAATTGTGTGTAATGTATTTAACAAACGTTTGCTTGGCTATAGTAGAAGTATAACATGCGTAATATTAAAAAATATGTAGCAGTGAAAAATTAACATGTAATTATAGAAATTTAACACAGTGAAAGATTTTAATACGCCACTGTAAAATATTGATAAATAAAAACAGGAAAGTAAATCAAATAAAGGAAAGAAACGGGCAAGGGTCGAAGGTCAGGAAAGGAAAAATTGTTTAACTGTATGCTACTATGCAGAGGACAAAAGTATGATATACAGTAGTGTATTAACACCGTCAAGGAGAAAGGAGTAGGTAGATAAAATGCAACAGCAATAACTGTGATGCGATAAAATGACGTTGATGAAGCGGGATGCGTTCAAAAAAAAACTTTAAAAAAATTCAAAATTACCAATTTTAGAATGTAATGGCTACAGTGAAATTCACATGGAAAAATAATTTGAAGCCGAGTGGGTCATTTTTCATCGGAAGCAGTCCGGAGTTCGAAATGGCGGTCGACACGCTTTGCTTCCTTACCTCCCGGCCCCGTGGTCCATGCAAAGTAAGTTACTCTTCCAGAATTTGATTGAACGTATATCACTGGGGAAGCGTCATGCGAGATGTCGCTGTGAGCAAGCGAGAAATGGAATCCGACAGGTGTCATGCGCGAGTGCACAATTCAAGAACTCATAAACGATAAGAACTGGTGGTTGAAACTTACGTGAAACAAACGAGGATGACTTGCGTTTTTCATACAGAATCTTTCAGTTCGAACTGGAACAGTGCCCGTTCTCGATGACCAGTTACGATTTGATCCAGAAAGAGAAACTTTACATTGGCACGATTTATCCCACTGCTGGAAAGATGACCGACACGTGTCGTCGATGTAACATTAATGGTGCCAAGAACTGTATGTGAGGAAGCAATGCCTCGTTTCTAAAAAGAAAGACTTCTTGATGAATAAATTATGATGTTGCATCCCTGTACTGTAACTTTTGTTGCTCCAAATGAAATCGAGAGCTTCAACACCGACTGTCCAAGTGGTTCTACTGATTTATTTCGTCCATATTGAAGGACTCTCGGAAGAAAGCTGCCCTACACCGAATAAGTGCGTGAATTTTAAATAAGATACCAGAGATAGATTTTATCAAGAAAAAAGAGCAGAGATCGAAAGTGCTTAATGAAACAGAGAGATGAAACAGAGAAGTCATCCGTCTTCTGGCTGGCTTCCTTTCAGTTCACTGTCAAAACTGACCCGTTTTCATGGTTCTGCTAAACAAATACAAAGTCGAAGAAATGGTTATCGAATACAATTACTAGAGAACGCTCAGGATATGAATCAGTGGCGAGCTAGTATCCGTTTCGAGTATCAAGTATCAGTGTCGTTTTGTGGTCTTCCAGTCAGCAAGTTAACTAAGATCGTCGTAGACTAAGCATGGCGGAGTTATGTAATGCCTAAGACACATCAAAATGGTTTTATTTGACAAAATCGGCAGCTCATCCGCACCACCATAAAACAACAATTTGGTGCCTTTTGAAGCTCTTTCTGATCAAATTTTTTAATACCATCTGTGTCGTTATCGAGCTGTGTCTTTGTTTTCATTCTAAGTTTTCTTTTACCGCAATATGGGCATTTTCCAGTTAACTCTGCTGTTTAATCGACTGATTCTGCGTTTCCCCAAGCGAATTTTTTATTCTTGGTTCCAATTTTTTTCTATTTTTATACGTTTTTGCTGTGCAGCGCTATAGCTGCTACAGCCAGCAAAAACGCATATTGTCGAGAGACTGTCTGTGTGTGTGTTCGGAAGCGAGTGCATTTTGTCACTCACTTTCATCTCAGCAACCAGGAAAGATGGGAGGCTGAAACTTTGGACATATTGTAGATTAAGTTCCCGAAATTTCAGCCCCGCAGCTTTTATAGGTCCTGAGATGAAAGTGCGTGAC